GCTTAAGTAAAACTCTCATGACGCAGATCAAATGCTAAATAGATTCTATGAAAGGTGGAACTAATGAAAAAATATTGCTGGTTAGAAAAATAAGATTATACCCGAAGGGACTTAGAAGAGCTTGAGAGGGTATAAGTTTAAACACCCAAGTTTTTTAATTTGGGACACCCAGAGCTTGCACGAGCTTGAAATAATTATGCTCTAGAGTCATTAAAGTGTGTTAAGCACGGAGAAATTATTATTATATGAAATGAAAAATGTATAAACATGACATAAAACTTTTTAAAGATGCCATAAGTAATCAAATAATAAATAAATAAAGGCAAATAATCATCTCTTCTAAAAACAAAAAATAAATAAAGATGATGTTAGTAATAATCAATTAAAATTATGTTTTATATAAGTCACGTAGCAAGTAATCTAGCAAATATTTATGAAGCACGTAACACAAGTATATTAAATAATGTGTCCCATATATAGGTGACATCTTTATGTCAGAGGTAGGCCTAACATGTATTTGAAAAATAAATGTGTCAAAATATGTCATTCCAGTTCTCTTTAATTAATTAAATGAATCTATTACCCAAATTAAGTACAAAAATAAACTTAAGCTTTATTACATGTAAAATAAAATAAAATAATAAAGTTCTCCATCGCATCTACATATTTTCGTCTCATGGCATGCTCGTGGCTCAATCTTCATAGGCCAAAGCTTTTGATTTGTAGCTATATGCATTATAAAAGGGTTAGTAATATCCTCCATCCTAAAGTTTAATTAATTTAGAACAAACGGTCCATATTTTGGCACAACTATTTTCAATAATGCACACATAAATAATAAGAATCACTCGGGATTGTGAACTCACTTGGACATTTGGATAAAACTGACTAATGAACTTAATATACCAATGATATTAAGTCTCTTAAGTTTACATGATGCATGTACCATAAAAGGTGTTGGTTTAGCTCTATCCTAGATAGATTAAGAGTGGGTGTACTAGACACAAGCTTCCTCAGTGGACAACTCGAGTGAGTAGGCAACACAGTCACACGAAAAAAAATTCGTACACCCCTCACATATGTCAACTCTCCTAAAATAATTAAGCTCAAGAATGTTTGAAAACATTCAACTAGCCAAAGAAGGAAACTCAAGTCTTAAACATTAACAATGGAAATGGAAAAGACTCCTCAAAACAGCACTGTCTATGAAGCCTCTAATAACTATGTTGTTAGTCGGGATAAGATTCACGACATCCTAACAAAATAAAACTGAAAATATCAATGTGAAACCCTCTGGAAAGCAAGGAGGCTCACCAAAGCTAGCTGGAATATGACTGGATCAACAGAGTACCGGTTGATGATCTTGAATACTTGTATCTCCATCATGAAACAATGCAGTCCAAATGGTGTCAGATCAATACATTGAATGTATCAACATGCAAGGGGAACTCTGAAATATAAACATAAACTTGAACTGGGAGAAAGGAAGACATACTCACCTCGTTTCAACTCAACATGAAAGCAATGATAAAAGATGCAATGTATATATCAAACTTTTAAAAAAGTAAGTAATAACTCAGATGTATATAAAAATACAATAATAAACTCTTTACTTTTATTTGGGAGATTCTCTAACCCACAACCATCACTATGAGCTACGTGATGATGCAACGTCTCGCCCACGCTGCCAGAACTTTCATATACCTTGCCGGGGTATAGGACATCCTCAACTAAGTGGGTCCACTAAGTTATGCTTAAAAGCAATAAAAAATCATCTAAAAAATATGACCCTTTATCCATGTTGGCATACATGGTTTATGAGGATTTTAAGTTGTCTAATTAAACTCATCCCATATCGGTGCTCAATACTACTCCCAATAATATATAATTCATTCTCATATGTTTAAAAACATAACCCATCCTCAACTTGAGATTATTACTCAAAAAGGTTTTCTTAAAGAAGATAAAGCTCAAAAACTTCTAATGAACTCATTTAGAAATCAAGATGAGAAGCTCAAAAAATGTAAATTGAAGAAAAGAGGATCAAAATTGGGTATCAACATCAACAATGTCAGCTAGCAGTTAATCAACGGGATAAAGGTCTGAAAAATACCTCAACTTTGGTCGAATTTGCTGTTGCGATACTAAACTTTCATGAGAACCTACTATCTCCCTAGCCTATTTAATACCATATTTTAAACATATATATTTGTCCACGTGGACATAAAAAATAATGCAAAATTATAAATAGTAATGTGTCCACGTGGGCGCATCTATACCTTTAAAATACACTATTAAATAATTCAGGGGATAAAAAATACGATATTAAATAGTCTAGAAAGGTAATAGGCCCTTATGAAAGTTTAGTATCGCAACAGTAAATCCGACCAAAATTGAATATTTTTCAGATATTTATCCCTTAATCAACTCATCATGGTAAAGTACCCTTCGATGAGGAGGATTCCAAACCACTTGTAAGGGATGGTTGATATGCTACAACATTATAGACCGTCACTTCATTATTATCATATTGTGAAGTGAAACCTATCAAAGATTAGTTGGGTGAAGTGCAATATATATATATGGGGCTAGCAAAGGCAATCCAGGGAACAACTCTTTTACGCAAAGCAAATTAAGGACATTTAAATTGCAACTATCTTGGAAGCTTAGTCGATGGCCATTTGGAATGCCATCCAGTTTTGCACTCTCCATAACTTCAACAACATCATTCTGGAGACTGTTTCACTAGCTCTCAAAAAGATGATTGTTGGAGAATGCAAAATACCTTGGGAGCTAATAGAGAGGATGGAGGAAATCAAAGATTTAATGAGCAGATCAACATTCAAGTCAAACATATTTTCAGGGAAGTTAATCAACTAGCCGATTACTTCACTAACATAACCATCAATCAAGCAGAGAAAAAAATTCCAAACTAAAAGGATCACCATTAAAAAAAAAAGGGTTTTGAAACTGAATTGGCAAGACTCAACTCGTACACAACTGAGTGCTCAAACGGAGGAACCTGGGAGCAAGTTAGTTTTCTCATCCACTACATCAAGTAGATTCAACAAAAAAGTTATCACACTCTAGATAATGAAAGAAAAATGGGAGAACTGGATTAACTTACTGTGAGCTACAAAACTTAAATACCCAGTTCTAACCCCTTTTCGAGTTTATCCCAAACTCTTAAACCTCCACTGAAATACACACCTGAAAATTTGGGATGCCCATCACCCGGGATTTTTGAACAAATATCAGGAATAAAAAATGAAATAGCTACTTCTACAAGTTGAGGATGAAGATCGAGAATCACCGGTGAAGAATATTGATCACCCAGAGGACGAGCTGGTGAAGGTCTTTGTTATGAAGGGTGCGAAGCGACATTTTGGTGGTGGGAGCGGAGGAGACAAAGCTGAAGTTGCTTTCATTAGGAAATCCTATTTTTAGGTGTGCAGTCTATCTGAACTTGGTCACTTTTGGACCGAGTTCATGTGTAAATATTTTTTGCTTCCTTTTTCCTTTCCAGTTTATTTTTTGGGAAAATTACGTGGTTAAATAAACTTATACTACTTAATCACTCATCATAGTTATAGTTTGCTATAATTATTACTCATGACTAACATTAACCCTTAATTACGTGGGCTGCCTTTGAGTTTGTATAATTAGCCACGTTTGTATATGTATAATTCGTCATATTTGTATAATTCACAACTAACAATTCTTTGTTTGATTTGTATTTGTATATGATTGTTTGTATTTGTATATGACAATGATTTTCTTTGATTTTTCAGTTTTGTCATCATATACATTCAATTTTTTTGTGTATAATTTTTTAAAGTTTGTATAAACGTGTAGTTTTTGGATTTTGTATAATATAATTTGTATAATATATTTTGTATAATTGTTTAAAGTTCATATGTTTATATTTGTATCAATTCGTTATTTTGAGTTTTATTATATTTGTATAATTTCAGACTTTATATTACTCAATTATACAAAAACATGTGAATTATACAAATGTACCTGTGAATTATACAAACGAGATGCGAATTATACAAATTATTGTCCTCTCTCGCTCGCCTCTCTCCTCCCTCTCCCAATCTCGCTCGCCTCTTTCCTCTTTCTCCCAGTCTCGCTCGCCTCTCTCCTCCCTCTCCGAATCTCTCGCCAGAATATACAAATACATATGTATAATATACAATTATCTAACCGATATACATATACAATTCACCTTTCTCCCACTCTCAGCCCTCTCTCGCTTGCCTCTCTCCTCCCTATAACATGTAGCTACGAATTATAATTAGCAAACTATAACTATTGAGCGTAATTAGGCTATTTTTGAATGGCTATATGCGAAAATTCCTCTTATTTTTTGGGCTCTTTTAGAGCCTTTTGGACTGATATTGAATAAACGGACCTTAGTTCATAATTTGCACAAAAAAGTGTTCCGAGCAGAAATTTGTATTGATAACGTGTTATAAATAATAAAGCAAGAAGAAGAATATTGTAAAGAAAGGTAGGGATAAGGGATGACAAATCTATTAATGAGAACACATGTATTAATAAGAAAAAAATTAACCTGGTGCCAAAGTGACTACCATAACTTTTTTGAAAAAATAAAATAAATTAGAGATCAAAATATTATATAAAATATATTTATAAGAAATTCTCCCTTCATCTTCAGATTTCGAGATTTGAATAAGTTTTTCTTTGATCGTATATTTTTTTATAGTATATTTAAAAAAAATTGATTATTTATATGACTTGTACTTTTTATTTAGTATTGTCAAAAATTAATGGTTTGACTCTCAAAATTTAAACGTGGCAAGTAGAAACATAGGCTAACTAACATTTTCACTTACACAACTAGGATATGGAACTTGGGCTAACACAGTAAGTAAAGGCTCGACACATAATGTGCAAGTTTTGACAGAGTAGAAGGTTAATTAGAAGTGTTAGTATCATTAGTTGTGGACAAATAATTTGGCAACTACCATAGTGTGACAATAACAATAATAACATGAGTGGAGAGAGCACAAAACCGTACATAGTGAAGAAATGCATTGCCCTTTTGCTTTCATGTGCTTCCTCAACTTACAAATTCAAGCAAGTTCATGCATTTTCCATCAGGCGCCGCATCCCTTTATCAAGCCCAGAAATGGGCAAATACTTGATTTTCACTCTAGTTTCTCTTTCAGGTCCAATGTGTTATGCTCAAAAAATCTTTAATCAAATTCAATTTCCTAATATATTCACTTGGAATACAATGATTAGAGGTTATGCTGAGAGTGAAAATCCATATCCAGCAATTGAAATACATAACCAAATGTGTGTTAATTCTGTTGCCCCTGACACACATACATACCCTTTTCTTCTAAAAGCTATTGCCAAGGTGATTGATGTTAGGGAAGGAGAAAAGGTGCATTGCATTGCAATTAGAAATGGGTTTGAATCGTTGGTGTTTGTTCAGAATTCTTTGGTTCATTTTTATGGAGCAATTAGTCAAGCTGAAAAAGCACATAAGGTGTTTGAGGAAATGTCTGATAAGAATCTTGTGGCATGGAATTCAGTGATTAATGGGTATGCTTTGAATAGTCGACCTAATGAGACGTTGACCCTTTTTAGGAAAATGGTTTTGGAAGGTGCTAGGCCTGATGGGTTTACTTTGGTCAGTTTGTTGACTGCTTCAGCTGAGCTTGGTGCGTTAGCGTTGGGTAGAAGGGCACATGTGTATATGTTGAAGGTGGGATTGGATAAGAATTTACATGCTGCAAATGCACTTTTGGATCTTTATGCTAAATGTGGGAATGTGAAAGAGGCCGAGCAAGTTTTTCATGAGTTGGAGGAGGATAGTGTAGTGTCTTGGACATCTTTAATCGTAGGTTTGGCTGTCAATGGTTTTGGTGAGAAAGCACTTGAGCTTTTCGAGGAAATGGAAAGAAAAGGATTTGTGCCTACTGAGATCACATTCGTCGGGGTCTTGTATGCCTGTAGCCATTGTGGTTTGGTGGACAAAGGGTTTGCTTACTTCGAAAGGATGCAAAAAATGTTTGGAATTAAGCCGAAAATTGAGCATTATGGCTGCATGGTTGATTTGTTAGGAAGGGCTGGTTTAGTCAAAAAGGCATACAAGTATATTAAAGACATGCCATTGCAACCCAATGCTGTGATTTGGCGAACATTACTTGGCGCCTGCTCAATACATGGTCATTTAGCTCTGGCAGAGATGACTAGAAATCACCTTAAGCTGTTAGAACCTAATCATTCTGGGGATTATGTGCTCCTTTCAAACCTTTATGCAGCCGAGAGGCGTTGGTCAGATGTGCATCAACTAAGGACCACTATGCTTAAAGAAGGGGTGAAAAAAGTCCCAGGGCATAGCCTTGTTGAGTTAGGAAATCGGGTGCATGAATTTGTTATGGGAGATAGGTCCCATCCTAAAAATGAGGCTATATATGCTATGCTTGGAGAAATGACTAGGTTGCTGAGATTGGAAGGTTATGTCCCTCATACATCAAATGTGCTTGCTGATATAGAGGAAGAGGAGAAGGAGACTGCTTTGGCTTACCATAGTGAAAAAATTGCAATTGCATTCATGTTGATTAGTACACCGCCTGGGACCCCTATTAGAATTGTGAAGAACTTAAGGGTCTGTGCTGATTGCCACCTTGCCATTAAACTAATATCTAAGATTTTTGATCGCGAGATAGTGGTTAGAGATCGTAGCCGGTTTCACCATTTTACCAATGGATTTTGCTCTTGTAAAGATTATTGGTAGGACATAATTTGTGGAATTCGAACTGGACTTTGCATAAGTTGCTTAAATTAAAGCATAGCCTTCTGAAAAAAACAAGATGGTGGAGAACAAGATCTGACAACATCTACGTTCTGTGCTCGAGGAAAGGTTACGGAGAGCAAGATATGAATTTCTAGGTCATTGCTTGGTGGACAGATATGTAAACTCTATACGTTCTGAAGAAAAATTCCTCAACTCCCTTCTACAGTGTTTTGGGTATCATATCAAGAGATCGTCCTGGGCTCTATATAAGTCACAAAAAAGGGAAGGTGTTTTCTGATCCTAAGCAAATGGGATTCATTCACTTTACACTAAGCCTTTAATAACATCAGGTGATTGCGCATTCTTTTCAGCTAGTATGGATATATACTCAGTATTCTTGCATAATCTGCTAGATTTTAGATGTTAATACCCAATTGACAGCTATGTTCCATGTTACAGCAGGTATAAATCAAGTATCTAAGAGTTCTTCCGAATTCCTTTCATAACCTGTTGATATACATTCCATTTCAAGTTGACAATGACCTACATGGGTTCTCAAACTTTTATGCTCAAAATAAATAAATATCTTTTTAGGTGTCTTCTAGGCCCAACATGCTCCCACAACAACAATATGCATGGTCGGGACACACACCCCTGGAGCTGAAGTATCCAGATCTTTTAGGTTAGTGGAAGCAGTTGAAGCAACTGTTGCCCAGTGTAGATCAGGAAGTGAGTGGATTGGGAATTTTAGAATAAACTGCTTTGATTGGGAAGTAACAAGCATGTCCATGGAATATGATCTGGAATGGGTTGCTTCAGTTGGTTGTTGAAGCATGATGCATGCTTGACTAGTGGTGGCATAGTTCCAGAAACCAGACAAAGATCAATCATGGGGTGGACTAAATTGCCTGGAGGACTTCTGTATTGCATAGAGAATCACTTACACTGTTCACCAGGAGAAGTCCTCCATGCCTGAAGTCTTTGTTAGCCATCAGCAATGATTCGATCAAAATTGCCAATCCTGGCCAACCTTCTGTTCTGCTACAAAGTTTCTTCATTCCTATGATAATGAATTTCATGGCTTAGGTGCGGTTTTGTCCAAAGATAAAATAGAAACTTTGAAGAAGTCTCGGATCTCCAGCCTTCATTTCAGCTCGTAATTAATGACAGGTCTATTGAACTACAAAACTACCCAAACTTCTGAGGTCTTTGACCCAGGTATGATCAATGGTAAAGTTGATTCAGGCTTCTGGCCAGATATGCTATTTAGCTATAAGGATGATGGTATGCCTGAAATCCCAAAAAAGATGGAAGGGAATTGAAGTTTAGCCAAAAAATCATTTCTTTTTATCCATTGTTAGCCTCACCTTTAGTATTTTTAATCGTCTTTTAGTACAAATTATAGGGTATTGTTGTACTTAATATTGTGTGTTTAGGGCCGTTTCGTAGAGTGCATAAAAATAGTACTTAATAAGGTGTATTAGTATTTAGTAATGCCGAAATTAGTAGTGCTAGGCTTGTTTCTTATACAATATTTGGTTTGATATGTTAAAAATAATATGTATTCCTATATTTAGTTAAAAATATTGTTTGTTTACAAAAATACCCTCCACTTTCTATGGCTCTGTGTATTTTCTTTGCAATGCTTTTTTCTTTATTCATTTTGATATTATCACTTGAATTATTTGAGGGTAAATAATTGTCATCTTAAACAGTAGTAAAATCGAATAAACCATCTATGTTTACTCATAAAAATTGCAAGTTGTAGTTTTTAATCTGTATGCAATTTTATAAATTGTTCAAAATACAAATAATTAGAAAATCATATATATATATATATATGTGTGTGTGTGTGTGTGTGTGTGTGTGTGACCAAACAATACATTCAATTAAGATCACAAATATCATGTGGTCATATATTGTACTAATTTGTATTAGATTTATTTAGCAACAAACAACTCTCTCTAAATAATAAAATTTGTAAACTAATTTATTTAAATAAATTTACTAGTACAAATATAAAACATAAAACTAAGAAAATAAACAAAATGATAAGAAGGATTTGAAAGGTATTTTTATCTTTACATATATTAATCTCATGATATTAAATTCTATGTATTACTACCAAATGAAAGGTATTAGTTATACACCCTATAATACCAAATAGAGTATATAACTAATACATTATAACTAATACAACTAATACAAGTATTAGTTATGCATAAGCCTAAAAATTGCACGTAACATAATACTAAATAATACAACATATAATACATGAACTATTTCTCCTAATACACTTTACCAACCGACCCTAATATATACGATTAGAACAGTGGAAAGATAAATTCAGAGCAAAAAATTATTGAAGCTCACATTAAATTTTAATTCAACAAGGAATAAAAGTAAGGAGTAAAAACTAATGATCGAAGGGAGACACCTGGCCTGAGTTCTTGCTTAGATAGGAGACACATGACATAAGTTAGGAGTAATTACTAACTTAGACCATCTCCAATCCACCTCTATTTTACTCTCCATTCTCTATATTTGGAGAGTAAAATAGAGAACGAGCACTCCAAACCCTACAACACTAGTTCTCCAAATTTGAAGAACTACTATTCACACTCTCTATTTCACTTTTTGAATATTTTATTATTATATCTATTACTTTCTAATTAACATATTATTTTACATATTGTCATTAATTAAATATCTAATATTCATAATTCTTTTTAAATATAATATAATATTTTAAAAATACATTATTTAATATATACTACTTTCATCCCGAATTAATAGAGTTTTAATTTTTTCTAATTTTCGTCAATAATATAATTTGATTTTATTATTAATTTTCACTATCAAGAATACACAAAATTAAAATGATAAGATGAACAATTTAATTTTAAAATGCAATACATAATATAACAATTTAAATACAAGATAACAATACAATACATAACATAATAATTTAGATACAAGATAAACTACAATACATAACATAATTATTAATTTATCACAACAATATTTAGTAATCCGGTAGGTCGTTTCCAGATTTATCACAACAATAATTTAGTAATCCGGTATGTTTATGTAATTGTATTTCACTTTTATTTGAATTTGTTCATTAATTTATATATATTCAGAAATAAAATTTAATTTTAAATAAAATAAATTTTTTGAAAAAATAAAATTTTATATCACATGACAATTATATAAAGTAATTATTGGGAAAAAGAAATAAAAGACTTATATTATGAAATAAGAATGAAATAGAAATAATAATAATGTAACATTGAGGAGAGAGAAAAAAAATTCTTTTTAGAGAAAAAATAGAGAATTGGATTAGTTGTCTGAAAAAAATAGAAAACTCTATATTTGGAGTGTAAAATAGAGTGTAGGGTTGGAGATGCCCTACTACTAAAATATGGCCCTAACATGATTTAGATAATGAATATTTTATATATTTTCTTTTATAAATTTAAGTAATTCCACAATCATAGCATATAAGTCGTATTCATATACATTAAGAACACCCCCGCCCCCGCCGTCCCCCCGGCCTATTGTGTTGATTTTTTATTTAACAATTTTCTTGAGGAAATTGAATTATGTGGTAAAAATCTCAAAGAATTTCTTTGTGATCATTATTTATGGTGTTGCCAAATTTTTTTACAGCAGAAATATGTTTTGGCACGAAAAAGAAGTAAAGAGATTAAATAAATCGGAGATATAATTGAGATTATTCATAAATTGATAAGAACATATTTAGTAACTAAATCGTAGTTAGGATCTTGCTTTACTATATTAAATCTTAGCCATTAATCTAAGTTGGACACGAAAAAGAAGTAAAGAGATTAAATAAATCGGAGATATAATTGAGAATATTCATAAATTGATAAGAACATATTTAGTATCTAAATGTAGTTAGGATCTTGCTTTAGTATATTAAATCTTAGCCATTAATCTAACTTATGTCATGTGTTTTCGATCTGATTAGGAACTTGCGAAAAAATTGAGAGGACCACTATTTGAGATTTTACACAATTTAAGATTTGTCTGATTTAATTTTGAACTGAACTAAGATGCAGTGACGGAGCCAAATATTTTATGAAAGGTGTGCAAAATTTTAGAAAGTAACTAACAATTTTTTTTGAGTGGATTAACATTCGCCTTGCTCAACCTAAACCTAATGATTTAATTATAAATATTATAAATAATTTGTTTTCCATCGAATACAATTTGTCTAATTTTTTATCTTCAATTTGAGAACTCAATTAATAAAAGAAATCTTCTATTTGAGTTGCGTTTCGTTATAAAAATGCATGGTATATTTTATGGGAAATTAAGCAAATACCCCATAAAAATAAAATAATTACAAACATATACCCTTTTACATTTATACCACACTAAATTATTACGCTATATACCCTATTTTTTATCTTCAATTTGAGAACTCAATTAATTAAAAAAATCTTCTATTTGAGTTGCGTTTCGTTATAAAAATGCATGGTATATTTTATGGGAAACTAAGCAAATACCCCATAAAAATAAAATAATTACAAACATATACCCTTTTACATTTATACCACACTAAATAATTACGCTATATACCCCCAGACTAATTTTACTTAACTGATACTAAATCAATAATATATCATGTTTGGATAGAAAGAAATCAGAGAATTTTTCAAGCCAAGAGCAGTACATCCTTGTCAATCACAAGGAGAATCATACAAGAGGTGTTTGTCAGAGGACTCCGTTATCCAAAAATTGCAAAAAGACTGGAAGGGCTGAACTTTTATCCTTCGTTTCCTAGGCTTGGTGATTGACTATGGTGTTAGATGTGGTAGGAGATAGTATTTTGATTACTCCTTGGCTGTCATGCCAAGTAGTTTTTGATATTGTACAAAAACAACAATTTGGTAATGAAAATTCCTTTTAATTGCCAAAATAAATAAATTATATATTGTATTGGTATTATTAAGACTGATAATTTCACTTAATTGATACTAAATCAGTATATATATATTCTGTATTGGTATCATTAAGGTT